AAGATAATAAATTTAAGAAGTGAATGACTACTTCTTATAGAAGTCCAAAGCCAATCAATGCATCATATGGCGATATATTATTGAGCATGGTTTGATATATCAGTAGGAACTCTGCGCCTCGAACTAGAGCCTCTCGTTCACCCCAAACCAAGCTTTGCACTAAGCGAGGGACAAATTGTCATGGAATGTATGTCAGCAGGAGGAGAGAATATGGCTGCTCGGCTAAGAACTAGTTCAACTTCGTCTTTTGGCCCTGGAAAAACCGAGACTAGCGGAATTGCTCTAAATACGCCTTGAACAGGCAAGAAGAGGTATAATTACTGTTTCCCGTTTTCTGGATCGTCTGTCGAAGTCGCAGTATACTCTTACCATAGTTTTGAACGAGCAGCAGATATCCTTATGAGGAGAACAACACGCAATGCTGTTACAGAGTTCACATCTTTTAATTTCTCTGCAATTAGTAAACGAAAATGCCAGTTTCAAGGTCATTTCTGTAATTAATCAAAACAATCAATAGAGATTAAAATAGTAAGGAAGAGGAAACAAATACGATTAAAATCCTTACCTCTACTCGAGGCAATTGTCATCTCGACCGGTTCCTTCTTACACAAAGTAAGCACCAAGTGTTTCTATAGATACTCAGTGTGGTTTCAGCGATTAACGATCAAAACACCCCTCTGAATTTCATTTGGTAGGTTTGACTGTAACTCATTTTGAACATTACATACCGTCAACAGAAGAAAATTTAGTAAGAGTGCAGGGAAGTTGAAAACTTATCAACATTAAAATACAGTAGTATTGTAGCAAGCAGAGGTTTTAATCACCGAACTAGGTTTATCTTTCGTTCTTTTTGTCCTAAAAGTGAGCTTTATCAACCTAAACAATAATTTACAAAATAAATGTAACACTCGACCTTAGTTCCTGTAACCACGTGCTTCACAGTCCAAAGTTGTACTTTTGCAGAGTTGTCGATTTCTGTGGACCCTAATTTTGAATAATTAGCGTTATTCCGCACACGAGAAACATGTTTCTGAACTAGCAACATTTCGCCAACATTTGGTTCGCGGTTTAGTTAAAGGCTTATATTTAAACAAAGATCTCTTACGCGAAGTAATGACAGCCTCCTTTTCAACGAAATGGAAAGAGAGAAACCCTGAGATACGCCTTGTAAACAATCATTATCAGGTGTTGACTATCCTGACAAGTTATAACGCTATTATGGTAGCAATGCAACAATTTCAGGACTGCAATCCCCTTTTGTGGTACAGCAATGTGGACGGTAAGATGATATTATAATAAATAAGCTGTAGATTGGATGTAAAATGCGAAACAGTCGAGTTTGCGTGTGAATAAGTGCATTTTCGAATAACTGACGGCACCGTCAAATCAACTCATTTTATCCAACTTTAAAATTTGATTAAATCGCCCTGAATTATTCCCCAAATAAGCTGTAGATTGGATGTAAAATGCGAAACAATCGAGTTTGCGTGTGAATGTGTACATTTTCGAATAACTGACGGTATCGTCAAATCGGCTCATTTTAGCCAACTTTAAAATTTGATTAAATCGCACTGAATCATTTCCCCAAAAAATCTTTGGAGATAAAAAAGAACCACACTTCACCTTCCAAAAGCCAGATTTTCAGTCGATGATTTTGTATAGCACATAGTTTTGTACATTGTACATTGTATAACATTGTACATTGCACGTTGTATAACAGGTTGCCTTTGACCTATTTTTAATCTTGTTAGAAGAAGGTCGGATAACTTCAATTACGTTGTGTAATGATCAAGAATTGCTCAAATTGCTGTCTAATTATGTATTGATGTTGTTTTTCAAGATTTGGTAGTTTTTATCGGGCCAAGTGTTTTCAATTCGTGGCGCGACGCTCCGAGATTCGTCTGAAATTTTGAGCTTCAAAAGCGGCATTTGGACGAAATTCAGCTTTTGTCGATTTTCTCGAAAATAAATCGATATTCAGCCAAACGAAGTATATAGTGCTTTGTCATAGGGCCTACCTAACTTGAGAATATGAGCCGAATCGATTTTTTGGCAGTAGCCACCATATTTTGAAAATGTTTGATTTTGGCCACATTTCCTCTAAAGAATGTCAAGCGTACTCAAAACACGATCATTGTCCTAATCTCACAGATACTTTCTAATGGTGGAGTAGGTATTGTATTGTTTTTGGAGTGTATTTTTTATTTTAAGCACGATAATATTTTCCAACATTTTTAAAGAAATTTAATTTAAAGTATGACTTGTTGAGTGGGTGTTTGATTTGTTCGGATGCAGTGTTGTCTTGATGTATTTTTTTTCGTTTCACCTGTAGTGTCAGAAGCGGCTTAAGTATCAACAGCTGTATGAGGAAACGACGATGAGTCAGTCGGCGCTAAATCAAGAGATAGCTGACTTAAAACTTACTTTACAACAAACTCAGCAAGGTATTATTTATACATTGATTATTACTGTCACAGATAATACAGATTACTTTAAAACTAGTGAATTAATTCACAAGTTGTTCAATGGATATTTTTGAGAACAATGCAGTGAAGTTTAATGAAATCTAAGGTGAGACTTAAAACTGCGGAAGTGGAAATTGGAGTGAGACAGACGGATGCTGCAATTACGAATGAGATAGATATCACACCAACCTCCTCGTTCAGGATTCTTTTAAATTATCTTTGTAATAAGGTATGTATTTTTGTTTGTTTGTTTTTGACCTGTTTGCCATTTCAGTACTCGACGTGGAACTTGGCAGAAGAAGAGCAAACTCCATTCCTTGGTAAGTCTAACCGTGTTAGAGTACAACTAGTTAAGTACAACTAGTTAAGTACAACTAGTTAAGTACAACTAGTTAAGTACAACTAGTTCGGAGCTCTGTTGTTAGAACAAAGTAAATGGTAACAATAAGGTACAGGTCGCTAATGATGCTTTGTTCTCATTTTCTCAGAGGAGTTATGTTTTGTAACGGAAGAGGATCGTATTTCTTCCTGCTATTGCTATTGTTTCATTTTACTGGTGTATGCGCTCCTGGGCCCGCGTTCGCAAGAGTTTGATTTTTTCCCAATAATAATATACATGAAGTCATTATTAGACAGAAAAAGTTAAAACCAAACATTTTTTACATGTAATGCCGACGCTCCACATTTCGCTTTGATACCCATTTGCGCGAGTCTTGATCAGCCTTGTTTACACGAAAGAAGTGGACAGAATTGTGGGAAGAGTTTCCAAAAAAAAGGGACCCAGAAATCGACGGCATGTTACAGTTCCATCTCCCATCCCTTGAAATTTTGGTAAACAGAACCTACGCCAGACTTCATTTTAATATTCCAAACCAGCGTTACCCAATGGGCGATAACCATTTGGCATAATTTTGTTACAGATGGTAACGTTCTGAGATAAGGTTTTTCTTAAGGCAAAACTGAATATTACTCCATATTTCCGCCAAACTTTCTATAAAGCCTATGGTAAAACAAACTGCAAAATGCACACTTAGGGGAGGTTACCTCATAAATTTAGTCGTGTTTTGAGCAATACGACGCTGTTCCCCGTTGCTGAGCGTTATATGAGCGAGCGTTATTATTATTAGTATCTTTATATAAGCAATAGCCACCATTTCGCGCGAAAATATGCAGGGATATTTATCTGCGGACATTATGTGTTCCGAGATGCGAATAGTCTTTCGAGAGCGAAGTTCGAGAAAAAATTGTGAGCTTCGAGGGAACATGTTTTCACGCACGTTGCAAAATATTTGAAGGATAATCAACACACGAAAACATGCTCGTATATTTGTTCTTGGGTATTATCTGTTCCTCCAGGCTCAGTTTTCCTCTAGCGGCGGTTAGCTCAATGGATAGAGCGCTGGACTGTTGTGCGGGAGGTCGAGGGTTCGAGACCCGGCCGGACCAACTCTCAGGGTCTTAAAATAATTGAGAAGAGTTTGCTACCTTTCTATAACATCAAGAAATGGAGGTCCCGTCTCCTGTAGGCTTAGGGGTAGGAGACGTTAATTTCCCACGCACGAGATTACTGTGTGATGGATGTCCTCCCCTGGGGTGGGATGGTTGGGTTTACTGGGCCCGCAGTAATTAGCGCAAGTTGTTGTGGTGTTCCTGCCGGTCGGCGAAGCTATTAAATAATTCAATAAATAAAAAGACAACTAAATTAATGTTTTTTTTTTTTAATCCATACCGTGAACCGAAGTTACTTTAACAATATAACATCTTTACTTGGATCTACTGACCTAATGACAACATTGATTTAAAAAAAGTATCATATATTGAAACTACCGTAAACGAGATGTAAACTGCTACAAAAAACCTTGAAAAGAGGATTAATTTCCAGAGTCATCGTCACCACGCAAAATTTTTCAAAACAGTGAATAGGATTTATCGATATTTTGTCGTCACTCCACATCTTAAAGCTTGTTCAATATGAGCTGATCATAATCACCTCAATGACTCGATGTTTCGATAATCAAACCACCAGCATAGAGTCCTTACCAAGCGAAAGCGATTCCCCGGCAGGACTTAAAACTCAACAGGAAGGTGATAGAACACCTCTAACAGACTCAGTTATGGACGAAACCAGTAGCACTGTGGTTATGATAGCTCAGAGCAAGGAACTATTTGATCGGCTGGAAAAGGAAGCCAAGGTTTGTTTAACAACTGTCTTGTGTTAGCTAAATTATGTTTCATGTACACCTCAGTGTTTTGAGACATACCAGAGTACGGCTGCCACATGGCTTGGTTGTTTGTAGTAGGATGTTTCACGCTCTTTGTATGCTTGCCTTATAGGAGTTGGAAGAATCCTATCAGAAGTTCCAGTCACGAATCAACCAGATGGAACTAGATGTTCACCCAACGTCTCGTTCTCCTGATTTTCATCATCTTACTCAAAGCCTCCATGGAAATACATTTGGTTAAAGAAAATTTAATTTTCACAAAATCCCTGTGTCTTGTGTCCCTTCCATTCCTAGGAGTGATCACATCAACACACTACTATATATATGGAGTTTGTCAATACTCATATCAGAATCCTCTGGGCTAAGAAGTGTATTACAGACAGAGTGGAGAGACGATGTTTCGAACTTAAACTGTAGAATTTCAAATTCTCCTTTGCTGTCACCCAGCTTGTCAATAAGGGATCCAATTTTGCCTGGCTAGTAAATATGCAGGGGTTATCAAAATCAAAAAAAGGAACATTGGGATAGCCACGCAATGTTCCGAGAGAAATAGGTTTGAAATCTGAAAAAAGTGCTAACCATCCTGATTAATTTATGCATTAAACGTGGATTAAACGCGTTATCCCATACCTTCCCTACTAGGTTTGAATCTATCCACAAAGTCCTGCTTTTGTCTTCTGTTCAAATATCTGTTGGGTAGGTGAAATATCTCCCCGATCAACTTATTTCAAAATGACATCTATCATACATACATACATACTTTATTTATTCCAGAAGCAGACTATGTATACACTAAGAAGAAATGGAAAATATGCTTCCAGAAAAGGAAGTTAAGAGGTTATCCCTATGTGAAAACTCCCTAAAAAATAAGTCTAAATGAAAATAAAATACTTAGTTATAATTAAATATTTAAATACAATTTAAGCTGAGATTTAAAATGCTGAAGATTATCAGCTTCCACTATGTTTCTTGGTAATTCATTCCATAATTTAACAATCCTAATGAAGAACGAATGTTTATAACAATTAAGTCTTGCTGGTTTGACGTAAAGTTTGTACTGATGATTTGCTCTCGTACATCTAGTTGTGGCAAAATCAAAAAAGGTTCCAAAATCTAAATGGTAAAAACCAAAAACAATTTTATAACACTCAATTAAAGATAGATAAGTTCTACGGTCGGAAAGAGTAGGCCATTTTAGCAATTTGCATCGGTCTTCGTAGGACATGTCTCCTTTGCGTTGATTTAAAGCAAGTCTTGAAGCTCTTCGCTGTACATTCTCAAGAGCATGGATGTCCTTGACGAGGTAAGGACACCAGACAGGTACCACATATTCCAAAATTGGCCGTACAAGAGATTTGTAGAGCATAGAAAAAATATTTGCATTAGCGGTGCCTATCGAGCGTTTAATAGAACCTAGGACTTTATTCGCTTTGTTCACAGTTATACCAATGTGGTTACTCCATGAGAGGTCCTTAGTTATTATAACACCGAGATCTTTAAATTTATCTACGTCTTTCAAGGGCTGTCCAAAGAAATAATTGGTCACTGACTTATCACGTGAATGTGTAATTCGCATAGATT